CGGTGTGAATCGGGAACAACCAAGTAACCTCGTAACCTCGTAACCTCTAAGGCTGAAAAATGAAGCCAACATGAAAGTGCCAATAACACTGGTACCTCTAAAGGTAAATTGAGGGTGATTCCAAAACCGAGGTAATCACAATAGGGCAATCAATTACTTTTCAGACTTTTCTGTGTGATTGACATGTAGCTATTTCCAAACTGCTTGCTAGGACTCACCCTGTAGGTGGGTGGATCGATCTAAACATCGACAATATCGATACCAATGATGGTAATGGTATCAGACTGATATCAGCACGATTGATTTATACTCTTCCCTAAGCTGACTTTATAAGTTGATATGAAATGCTTGTATCTGTATTGGTATAGGCAATACCATCTTTGTATTTATTTGGTATCAGCATCAGAATGTGTAGTATGGCACACCACTACTCATCTCAGTCAACTGGAGTCACTGAACTGGACCTCTCAGTTTGGTTTGTGATATTTGGAGCAATCTAATTGATTTGAGACATATTATGGCTTGCTATGAGGTACCAACAGTCCAAGACATTTATGTGCTTTGGTGAGTGAATGCTAGTAATTTATTAGTCTGTCAATTTGCACCAATGATCAGGTGTATCAGTAAATCATATGATTGCACCTTGCTAATGCTGACAGGCTGGACTGGATAGTCTGGATAAAGTAACATGTCTTGGCTGACTGAAATGGTACCTTATTGTCATTTGTAAAAGTATCAGCTGAATTCCTTAATCGTTCATTTTTATGTATTAAAATGATTTATTCTGTTTTTTCTTTCAGATGTGTCATGGTCACAATGAACCTGACCTCCAGCTCTGATCCTGTCTACTTCCTTACCAGCAGATTTCCTGGTTTGAGAGACCAGCCAGATACCATCATCAAAGCTGACTCTGCTATCTTAGGTACTATGCACAACTGTAAAGCTGTGTAAATTATATGTGTACATGTTAAATGATATTCTATCTGAAAGAACACGTGCAGGGAATAGGAAATTAAAGAAAACAAAAGAACTTAAGATTATGCCTATATTCCTGCAGGACAATGCGTGCAGGAAAAAGAAGACGCACGAATGACAGTCAAAGAACTAAAAAAAGCAAAAAATACCAAAATGTAACAGAAAGCCACTTGACTTTAGGCTGGTGACAGAGAGATAATAATGTAAGGCTGAGAAAAGGTGGCAATCTGAAATGGAAAATATGATGGAAATATGATTTGTAGGCACAATAATTTCAAATCATTGTTTTGTTTTTTCCAAATTAGGTTATTTTATTAGTTGAGAAAATTGATTCACAATAATAATATTCTCCACATTTTCAGGTGGCTCCTACCAGAGTATGGGCAATTCAGCAGAAAACAGAACATTAATGCTGCCTCCAGATGAGTTTAATCCATTAGGAGGGCATACAATCTGGCAGGTAACTGTTGTGGCAACAGTTCTACTTTTAACTTTGATCTTATTAGATCTGTTTTAGGGCTTCACTGTATAAATTCCATTGCTTCAGTACCAAGTCATGGAATTCTAACTACCACCAAAAATTCAGCTCATGGGTCTAGGGAAGCGGTCCCCAACCTTTTTTGTGCCACGGACCGACAATATTTTCACGGACCGGCCTTTAAGGTGTCGCGGATAAATACAGCAAAATAAAACTAGTACCGGTACCGAAAAAAAGAAGATTTATTCATAACACACGTGAAAACACCCAGGAAAACCGAGTTAAC